ACCGAATCTCTGCTGAACTCAAACATCCAATTTTTTCATTCGATTCTTATAGGTCCAATCGCTTCCGGCCAGAGGGAAATCGGACTAAAGAGAGTCGGGTATGAAAATCTTTTTATTTTACCGGTCGTTCTTTTGTCGACGCGGGCCTATGAGAGAGCGCGAGGTGCCCTCTGGGGGCTTGTCCACGCAGCGGCGAGGGGGCATGACCCCCTAGTTTTATAATATAAGTTGCGTTCCTTGAATGTCACTGTAGGTTCTTTTCTTTTCACAAATACCTGTCTTCCATCTTCTAGGACCTCTAGTCTGCGATTCTTGCGGGGAAACTTTAGCAGACCCAAAGTACCGAGCTATGCACAAGAGGGCCCACACTGGAGAAACGTCCTGTCATGTTTGCGGGGCATACTTCGGTTTTATGAAGAATAAGACCAAGCATCTCAAGCAGAAACACCCGGATGAGTATGATGACCAAAATGAGGACCGCTGATTAACCGGAAGATTTCGGCATTGGAAAAACACGTGACCTACATATGCAACTGAAGTTCCAAATCCTCCTCCAATATGGCTGCCTTGGTGCACCGATCTTTGAGCAATCCGACCCATGACCATGATACAAAGAAGTTATTACGCAGGGAAATAGCTGTATTGAAAATAAAAAAATCATTCAAAGAACCACCTACAAACAAAAATGAGGGACCTTGGCTCCTCGGCAACAATAAAACGTAGAATCTGGATGTTGCGACCAGTCCATAAATATTAGTAACTAAAATGAAGATAGAATGATTAATTTAATAATACACATCAGGGAACAGAGAGATAAGAAGAATTAATCTAATTATTTACATCAGTAGGTGGAGAGATGGATAAAATTAGTTCAACCCAGCCTTGCCGGATACGGATGAATCCGGTATCTCAGAGAAAGTATATTTAGACTTTAAACTTGGCGTGATTACATCGCGTCCAATGGAGTGGTCTCTTTGTATCCTCGTTATCTGCACGTCATTATTTCAATTTGTGGTGTAATATTGTTCTTTCAAATTCGGAGAATAAACATTAAAAATAATGCGACTTACCTTAAAACTTACTTTTTCCGCCAGACACTGAACTCATTGTGAAAAGGGCAGTCCTCAGAGAAGTGGTTTATGCAGACATTGACGTAAAAAACGATCTGAAATTTCAAAGCAGAATCAGAGTTGATACGTTTTGAAGTTTAGGGTTCAAGTGAGGAAATTTTCAGAGATTATGATTATTTCATTCAATCTACCACAATCTGTATATTATCTATTTTATTCATTTATTTTCGCACCAGGCTTTGAATCATTGGATTAAAAGCGCAACTTGACATCGCCCATTGACATCTAAAAGAGCCTAACCGCCCGCAAGATAGCAGGGAATCTGACAGAAAAAATTCCGGGATAGTCTCACGCTGCACAGTGCAGTGTCCCATGGACAAAAATCGAAAATTCGACTTTGTCGGATAATAAAAATGACCGCTGGATTGAAGAAATGGATGGATGGGAAGAAAAAATTCGTAGTTTTTTGACACGAAAACGCTACTGAAGGGGAGGTAGGGGGAGGGGAAATCACGGAACCTGCGCGGATGCACAATTAGCAGAGATCCTGCAGCGGGCATCATGTGTTATGACGGGTGATAACTGAAATTACTCTACTCAGAACGGAACAAGGTAGAATATTTAGGTGTAAGGTATGTTTGTCGATACAAAAACTATGTTGATCATTTTAAATTCTTAAATTAAGGGCCTCTCAGTCCGGTCTTCCGTTGATGATGCCAAAAATTCGATTTATTCTATATACCTATCTTTAAACAGAGATTAAAAAAATATATCAAAATATATCAACGCAATTTTTTGATATCTTGTTCAGAATACCTTCTAGATTCAGAATATGTTTAGTTTTTAGCCCCAAAGTCCCCCAAATCGACGGAATCGTCATTTTTGTGACCTCAAGTCAGGGCTCAGGCGCGCACTGAGCGGCATATTGGCTTATGATCATGTCTTTAAACATAGATTAAAAAATATATCAAAATATATCAACGCAATTTTTTGATATGTTGTTCAGAATACCTTTCAGATTCAGAATATGTTAAGTTTTAAGCCACAAACTGCCCCAAATCGACGGAATCGTCGGTTTTGTGATCTCAAGTCGGGAATTGGGTATACCCGTTGAACTGCATATTCGCCCCTGTTTAAGACTCCTTTCCGATAAAGAAAAAAAAAGTTACNCTATACAATACTCTAATACCCCCCCCCCCTCGCCCCGAAAATTCTATCCGTCTTTCCGCATCGTCCTCTAGTTTTTCGGAATAGCCGATTTTCCCTCTGATAATCACAGTTTTTTACCACTTTTTGTTTTTGCGACTTTTTTTTCTCACAAAAGAATTTTAAAAAAAAATTACAATACGTGTTAAAAAGGTTTAATCTGGGTAAACGTAACAGGGCCTGTTGTTAAAAAGTAATTTCAGATCAAATCATGAGGAATGTGCCATGACCGTCTTTTTCCGACCAGAATCGATCTCGCTATAATTGTTACAGCCCCCCCCCCCCCCCCNGCAATCCTATCCAACGATAGAATATATGAATAGGAGGTCTCATGTCAAATTTTCCTTCTCTATGTCCATCCGTCTTTGAGCTACGAGTTCAGTTCCTACCGCCCGAACGCTCACTATTTAGTATTTGCGTACGCTCTACCCCTCCCCGCCGCAAGTGTCATTTAAAAAATTTGACCTCATCTAACGATGGCCTATCGGTAGAAGAGGTCGCACCCAAATTTCACTTCTGTGTGTGCTACCGACTTCGGACTAAAATGTTTGTCCCTACCGCCCAAACGCACGTCTTCAAGTATCACTGCTTCCGCCCCCCTCACCCCGCCACAAGTGTCATTATGAAATTTTGACCCCATCCGACAATAGCACATATGTATAGGAGGTCTCATATCAAATTTCACTTTTCTATGTCTTTCTGTCTTTGAGCTATGAGTTCGGTCTCTACCGCCCAAACATTCGCCTTCAAGTATCAGTACTCCCGCCCCCCTCCTCCCGCCCCAAAGTGCCATTAACAAAATTTGACCTCATCTAACGATAGTCTATATGTTCAAGACCACTTATACCAAATTTCACATCTCTATGTGCTTTTGTCTGCGAGCTATGATTTTTGTCCCTACGCGCCATAAGGACACTGCACTGTGCGCTGAGGAAAATATTACAATTAATCATAGCGATCGGTATAGCGCTTAGACTTCAAGCAAGAAAACTTTCAAGCCAGACAAGTGGGATCGTTCGGTATACAGACGAATTATGTTTTTAAAAGTGCGATAATCGACGCAATTGTGTGAGACTGACACCCTGTGATGCCCTACACTCATCAATTCTGTCAGAACTCCGATTTAAACCTCATATATAGTTCAGCATGTGGTTATAATTTCTTTTTCTCTGAAGTTAATCTCGAAGAGCTTAAATTTTATTAGAACCACTCCGAGATCGAATTTCAAGATGTCCTAGTTTAAGACTGATGAAGTTCCCGTTCAAAATTAACGGGCTTTACCTCCTCAATATAGTGATTTTTCTGGAATTTTAAGAGTTAAGGAAGAATGAAAAAGATAAGGGGACAGGGTTTCCAAACTGAAGTATATATTTTAGGGTAGAAACCAACGACCCCCCTCCCCTCTTTCCCCAAAGAGAGAGGAAAAATCCTAGTCAGGTGCTGAAGGAGTTTAAGTTGAAAATTTCATGTCCGACCTCTCGGATTGACTCGATCCACTGTGCGCCGCAGGACACATCCCATCTCGGGCCCTGGTAGCAATTCTAAGGCTCGCCCCCCCCCCCTCCCGTGGGGGAAGGGGGTCCGAGGGGCCGCCCCTGGAGAATTTTTGAAATTTTAAATCTATTTGTACGCATTTTGAAGCTCCCATGACGGAGATTTTCCATCAAGTTCTGCAGAATAATTACGCCTTTTTTTTTTATTTACTTTCAGCACAAAATACTTTCGACTTGTTGCATTCAAAACATCTGAAATTTTTTTTGACGGGGGGCAGATGATACTATTTTCAATTTTAGGGGGGCCAGGGCCAGGTCCCCATGAAGTCAATAGGATGCCCGGACTGGAGACACTTAGCATCCGACGACGGAAAAAAATGAAACGCAGTTACTAAAAATATCATTCTACACTAAAAATCTTAAAAATAGATAGAAATCTTGAAAGAACTAAGAAGAATTCGAAAGTGTCCCAGCGTCTTTATGAAAAGTTATTCACTTTTCGCGAAATTTACAGGGTAAATTTTTCACTTTCCCTTACGAAACAAGGGTAATATGTGAATTCAAAGTGGTTTGTCACCGGCGGCACGGGCCCCTCCAGGGCCCGGGCCCTGGTACCAGGGACCCAGTACCCCCCCCCCTTGTGGCGGGCCTGCCACGGGACTCGGGACTCGGGCTTTCAAAGCCGTGGGCTCTGTGCTTGGCTCCGATCGCTCGAGCTATTATTAGTTCGTGTTGGGTGTTTGAACTCGGCTTATCAACCGTTCTTTAAGCGTCCAGCCCACCTACAAACTAGGGGCCTCAAAGAGCCTCATCGATGGAACTGTTGACTGTTGCCTTTTAAAGATCGTCGGGCCGACGATCTTTGAGGGTAACCGATGTGTTCGGGATACATCACAGATCAGATTTTGAAATTTTCAAGGCATTCCGTGCAGAAATGGCTGAGAAATAGAAGAATTAGTGCCAGTTTGAGAGCCCCAGTTTGTACGTGGGCTGGACGCGTTAAACAGCCCAACACGATACGAACTAATTTGTGCGCATGCGCACATCGCCTCAAGGACAACACTTCCTCGAGTCATGGTTCATCTCAACGTTGCCAACTTTCCATACAAATCGACGGTCTGGTATGGGAATTTGATTCGTCTCCTCACACTTTCAATAGCGGCAGCCAGGCACGTTACTTTGTATGCACGCACACTTGACTACGTATCGCGCGATAGTGAGGCCTGTCGCCGCGCCGCGCCGTGCCACGTCTCTCCGGGCTCTGCGCGAGATATATCCACTGAGGTCAGTCATTGCCCTGGTTTCCTCGCTCGGAGTTGCCCCTGTCCAATCGGTCGTGACAACAGTATTACTGCCGCGAAAACCAGAAATATCGGAAACAACGCTTTTCTTATGGAAGCATTGCTAATTTGGATTAATGAATCATTTAAATTTCTTACTTTCAAATCCTTTGTGACCCTCTGAGCGTCGGAAGGAACGTTTCGACATCAGCGTTCGTGGTTTCGATTTTGCCGAATTTGTGTTGTTTCGTTTTTACAGTTTGCTCTGCATCGGCCATTTTGACACGCGAATCTGTACCACTAAATGGCCTGCTACATCCCTGACTTCAAAAATCATGTAAAAATATGAAAACGCAAATTCAGCTGAAGCGAAACCCTAGACGCTGATGTCTAAACGTCCTTTTGGACTCTCAAAAAGTTTCAAACGGTTTAAAAGTATGAAATTTAAATGATTCATCAGTACAAACTAGCCTTTTCTGCATAAGAAAATCATTGATTCCCAGCTTTCTGGCTTTCGCGGCAGTAATACTGACGTCATACGCAGATGATTCTCATTTTGGATCTGGGAATGACTGACCTACATGGATAGATCTTGGATCTGCGCAATGGAATATTTTACTCACCTCTGTTCTTGTTTTCCAAGTTATTTCAATGATTTATTTCGTGTATCGAGTCGGTCTCTGAGCTTTTGGAGTCCGCTTGATCGTGAGATTTTCGTAATAATTCAGAGAAATCTAATAGTTTTTCTCCGCGGTCGTGTTGAATTTTGTTTTGGATTGTGCGTGCTGTGATCAGTTTTGGTACGTGTGATTGTGCCCTCACATAGCTTCGAATCGACGAGCATAGTGATTGTTATTTCATACAGTGGAGGAAGTACCAGAAGTACCTACAACTATGTTCACGACCATTCCGGAATATTTGCCATGCTACTACTTCACCGATCGGTTAACTGGGTTCAGGTCTGAAAATCTCCATTTACTTAATTCTGATTTCAATTCTGTGCAACGCTCTTTCTGTCCAATGCTCCTTTTATTCATTTTGTTTCGTTAGAACAGGTTTAAACACGCTATTCCCCAAGAATTCTTTCTCAATTTTGAGGAGCCTCCGTGCTTTCTGGAAGTAACACAGAAAAGAAAAAAAGAAAAAAATTGTCATGACTTAGATTTTCCCGGTGGCATCAACGCCGAACAGGTGGAAAAAAGCCCGCATGGTGCGTACACTCCTCAAGAGCCCGGGAGAGGGGGTCTGTGAGGTGAGGAATACTCCTAGGATGATTGAGGAGGACTGAGTTTAGAAGTCCTCCTGCCTGGTTTTTAAAAAATTTCAACCGTAAGTCATAAACTTTGCCCAAAATTACGAAAAATATCAGGGACTAGCTGACAACCTGAAAAATCGGGAATCATCAGAGATTTTTTTTATTCAGCACGGAAAACCTTCAAATATGTCTTCCATCTTACTTTTCCTCATTGTTAGTTTTCCTTCAGTTGCGAGCGTAGGCAACACAAGCTTCCCCGTGGTCACATACATGGCATTATCCTGGCCCCCAGTTGTGCCCAAAATGTTACGGGAGGACGGAGTTGAGGGGACAGAGTTGTGAATCTTACTTGTTTCGCCAGGAGGAAAAAAATTGAGGTAATGTTTACCGCCAAAACAAGACGTGCTCCTACATTAGAGCAAAGTAGTACGTTAAATATGTAAAAATAGTTGAATTTTGTTGAAGCTTACCTTATAATGAAGCAGGGACGGAGTTGAGCTGCGTCAAGATTATTTTTAAGTTCACATATATTTTTAAAAAAACATACTGTACAACATTTTTGTTGGGTATTGCAAAAATTGCTCGTATCCTTGCTGAGTAAGGTTAGAAGAGAGGATCACCAGAATAACAACAACTTTCTTTCTACAAATATCGTCTCTGGTGGTTCCTATATATTTTTATTATTTATTTTTTTATTTATTTATTCTTTTGCTTTTTGCACATTTGGCTTCAATAAAACGTTATTTTATAAATAAAGGTACTGTTTTTTTTTTTTTTTTTTTTTTTTTTTTTTTTTTTTTTTTTTAAGACAAAAAGCTGACAAATTTTGTCGAATAATAATATTGAGTGTAATCAAGTCTGCAGTATAAAAATAATTGTATAAAAATATAGAGATATAAAGATGTATAAAATAAATGCATATTTTTATTAACTTCACTAACAGTATAATGGCCTCGAGTTTATTATGCTTTACAGGAACAATAGTGTCTTATAATGGAATGATTTTAATTTCTCTGAATACTAATATTAAATTTTGATATAATAGTGACTATCAATGGTAACTAGGAATTTTAGTTGTCAATTCACTTTGAATCTTTATGTTGCATGCAGGATAATGTAGATCTCATTATTTACTCATCATCAGATTCAGACTCATCACCTGGCTTAAATTCCTTTCCGCAAACTTTTACATGGTTGATTGTAAACCCAGGGCTTACCGGCAATAGGTCAGCTGCAACTGCCTGCTTCTTTTCGTCGTTTATTTTAACTTCCTGGGCTCTAGCGACGGTTGCCTTCATATATTGCCTTATAATTTAACGTATGCAACATTATTGATAGTGTTAGCCATTCCTTTGTATTTCCTCAAGCCTTTCTCGTTATCCGCCTTGATAAGAAGAAGGATGCTTGCACCTGCAAGATCTTTGTAATGTGTTGATGACGCGGCGCCCAAATCCTTGTTAAATCCATAATACTTGTCATCCTGGATCAAGTCAAAAGCTATCTTGAATCGACCTAGTTGAGCGTATAGTAAGTATGGAGCCCAAATAGATAAGCCCAATAAAAGTTCTTATGGAGTCCGAGAGCTGATTTTATACTGGAATAACAAGTGAGGTTGTGCCAATCAGCTTGTTCAACTGTTAACTTAATGCGAAGGCACTGATTGGGGATTAGTGTTTTCCAGTAGGCTATCATAGCCGCAACGTCACCGCTGTTTAAATAGTCGCCGAATGTCATGTAAGTTGCTTTTATTAGCTCACGATCAGGCTGGATTCGGTAACCAAAGAGCAAGCATCCCTCTGCGATCTTATTCAGAAACTCGATCGTACATTCACCCGTCTTAACAATCGCCAGGACAGTTTGTAGCAGAAGCTCAGTCCAAAATGTTGGAAATTTCCGTCTGTGTTGCTCCATACCTGCCACCAAAATCAACATGGCGTTTTCAGCACTTCCTTCCCTAATCGATAATTCGAGAGCAGCATCATCCGCAGGTGCAGGATAAAGCTGTATGGCTTTTTCTCTTATCGCATTTGCAACGTCAGGATCAGGGAAGTCAAGCGTTTGTGACACGGCAAGGCGGAGCAGTTGCCTGGCTTCTGCCTCTGGGAGGCGACGATTTCTGAGATTTGGAAATATGGCCTCTCCTATTGTTGCTGAAAGGAGAGTTTGATCAGCAGCAGGGACGTTACCTTGTCGTCCATGACAGAGCACTCGTGCACCATTTACAAGCGCGGCGTTATTGAAGCCGTTTGAATATGGTGCCGTGCTCACATTACCGAGTACGAACTTCCGGAGGAGAGGCTCCGTTTGCACGAATTCTCCCCATAAGGGTAATTGGTCCGCGAATCCTCTTATTTCATTGGCTCTGTCCATAAAAGCAACAACAGGATCTTGATGTTCTGCCATGATAGTTTAATGAATGTAGAAAAAGTGGAAACGGGGTAAAGGAAAAAACTTTTGAAGATTTAAAATGAATGTCATAAAAATGGAGGTTTGCTCACCAAAAGCAGTTGTCCATTCCCCGTCAAGTTCCCGTCCTTTTCAAGTGGAGAGGAATCATTGAGTGTTTGTGAAGAAATTTGGAAACAAGTCGTACAATAAATCCTCATCGTTTAAGGAGACAGCTGATTCGAAGGATGAAAAAAAAAATCTTCGTATGCAATTTTATCATTAATTCATATTAATAATAATATTAATAAAAACGAGAATGTCATAAAAATGGAGGTTTGCTTCCCTGATCATTTGTCCATTCCGCTTATTTCCGTCCTTTTCAAGTGGAGAAGAATCATTGAGTGTTTGTGAAGAAATGTGGAAACGAGTCGCACAATAAATCTTCATCGTTTAAGGAGACAGCTGATTCGAAGGATGAGAAAAAATCTTCGTTTGCAATTTCATCATTAATTAATATTTATAATAATATTAATAAAAACGAGAATGTCATAAAAATGGAGGTTTGCTTCCCTAAGCAGTTGTCCATTGCCCGTCACGAGAATTTTCACGAATTAGTTAAGGCACTTCTCGAGGCACGAAAAGGGCACTTCTCGGAAAATCTAGTTTTGAGATAAGAGCATTTGAAAGTTTGAAGTCATTTTTTATAGGCTTCAATTCAATATTACAGTGCGACGTAATTTTTTTATGAAAATTGAAACTCTTGTCTCTAAAAAGCTGGCAGAAAAAAAATATCCTATTAAAATTCGACCGGAAATGACAAACAGAAGTTGAAAAACAAAGTGCCCTTTTCCCACGCAAAACTCGTGCTTCGTTTTTTGGAAAACAGAACAAGAATTGCTTTGTTTCTGGGATATTTTCAACATGGTTAGAGGGCAAATGTAGAGAGACTAATGGGCAGGATGATGTTGGAGCGTTGTTGATGGCAGTGACGCTGCATGATTCCGGTAGAGCTCGTTTTTTATAAAAAACGAACGAAGTAACAAAATAAACTTCTTATTCAAAAATTATACAAGCAATGACCGCTACAGGTTACAGAGCAGGGTTTCAATCGGAAGAGTGAACGCTTCAGCGAGGCTGCCGGAGGTGTTTCTTAGGATTTCAAACATTTTATGCTCGGTCAATTTTAGATACGCTCGTATAGCTCTAGTGATATTAATTTTATGACACAGAGTAGTATGACGATTTTTCATGATAGTTACAGGAACGCATTTTACCGAAGCTAACATATTTTCTGAATTACTTGTGAATTCTTCGGTTTCTTTGATGATCCTTTCGGTTTTTTCGATTTTAGAATCATCTTCGGGCAAACTGTTATTATGTTTATAAATTTCATTTTGAGCTTTGAGAGTATGAATTTTTTGTTTGGACACTTTGATGCAATGATTTACCATCAAATAGAAACTGTTCGCAACACGAATATATATTTCGTGTTCAAATTTGCTACTGCTCAAATCGGTAACTTTCTTATTCCATAAATTTACGTTGAACAATTCTAACATGAAATTATGAAAAATTACAGGACGATTTTCTTTAAGTTCTCGCATATTAAAAGTTATAAGTTTATCGAGGATAACTTTGTTCTCTTTCAAGTGCCGTTTGGGTATTGCGCCCGGTACAAAATAATATTCATTATCTTTATTCTCATTAGTACATGTAGTTAGGAGAGTTTTAAAGGATTGGATCGACGAGGCGGGCAGACAACAGTGCAAACAGGCTCCACGTCGCAGCGTCGAAGTTCTGCCGAAAGAAGTTCCGGGCGAATACCACAACGGGGATCGGCACGCGGCATTCCATAGCGCTAGCGACGCCTTCGAGTGCTCGCGCCCGCAACCCGTACTATTTGAATTTAGAAATGACCGCTACAGGTTACAGAGCAGGGTTTCAATCTTGCTTACAAGATCTTGGACTCCCGCATCTTGGTTCAAGATTCCATCGCATTGCTTCTGGTCCATTTTTGGTAACAGTAACAAACTACTAGACACAGCACTACAGGACGCGGTAATGAGTCTGAATAAAGTCTGTGCGGGGGTGCTTTCCCACGATCGGCAAGCTGCGGGGGTTGGAGTTCAGGATCTTGTTAGTCCGCAAGGCAAAGGTCAGGTGCAACGAGATGCGAATGCACCGGATGAAGGGTCGGCTCACAGCTCAGCGACGGGTAACGCGGCAGGCAAGCGCGCGTTTGGGAAGTCACCGGATGACGGGTCAAGTGCGGTGACGGCGATGGTGGAATGGAAGCGTTCTGAGATACCGTTGGAT